CCCCCCTTTTAGTATTTGGGGCCCCCACCCGCCGCTCAGGGGTGGGGGCCACGGGGGGAGGACCTTAGGTCCCCCCCCTTTTTAGTATTTAGGGCCCCCACCCGCCGCTCAGGGGTGGGGGCCGGGGGGGAGGACCTTAGGTCCCCCCCCCCATTTTAGTATTTAGGGCCCCCACCCGCCGCTCAGGGGGGGGGGCCAGGGGGGGAGGACCTTAGGTCCCCTTGTCCCTGTTAGGGCCCCACCCACAGCTCAGGGGTGAGGGGCGGGGGACATTAGGTCCCCTTTTAGTATTTAGGCCTCCACCCAGGCTCAGGTGGGGGCCAGGGAGGGGCCTTGGGTCCCCCTTATTCAGTGGGGCCCCACCACAGCTCAGGGGTGGGGGCGAGACATTAGGTCCCCTTTTTAGTATTTAGGGCCCCCACCCGCTGCTCAAGGGTGGGGGCCGGGGGGGAGGACCTTAGGTCCCCCCCCTTTTTAGTATTTAGGGCCCCCACCCGCCGCTCAGGGGTGGGGGCCAGGGGGAAGGACCTTAGGTCCCCCCCTTATTCCAATTTAGGGCCCCCACCCACCGCTCAGGGGTGGGGGCCAGGGAGGAGGACCTTAGGTCCCCCCCTTATTCCAATTTAGGGCCCCCACCCACCGGTCAGGGGTGGGGGCCAGGGGGGAGGACAGTAGGTCCCCCCCCTCATTATTTTTATGGCCCCCACCCACCGCGCAGGGGTGGGGGCCGGGGGGGAGGACAGTAGGGCCTCCCCCCCATTGTAATTAATGGCCCCACCCGTTGCACAGGGGTGGGAGCCAATAGTTTTTGTTTTGTTTTGTTTTGTTTTTTTTACAGTGAGCAGCCACTGGCTGCTCACTGCTTACTAGACATGCCCCTACTCGCTGCATAGCGAGTAGGGGCAGATCATTTACTAATACTAAGTAATCTTTACTTAGTATTAGTAAATGTGGCTGAAAGACCAATTTAGGTCTTTCATCCTTTTAGTAGATAACTCCCTAATACCGTGGGAATTAGGGAGTTATCTACTAAGCGGCTGCAAGATGCAGCCGCGGATCGGAGTTTGCATGCCACAGTCCAGGTGTTAGTCCCCTTGAAACATCTTGTGTGTTTTAAAATTCGCCTGTCTATTGAAGTCTATGGCGGTTCGCCCGGTTCGCGGGTTCGCGAACATTTGCCGAAATTCGCGTTCGCCGTTCGCGAACCGAAAATCTTATGTTCGCGACATCACTATCCCCCACTGACTATAGTACAGTGAAATTGTCAATGAGATTTACTACAGCTCCTCTTCTTTTTCTCTCTGCTAGTTATTTTTTTTTCTCACTTGATCTGTGAATAAAACATTCATAGAACCCTGTACAATGGACATTTATTGTCTGCCCCTAGACATCAATCGTGTTTTTTTTCACATCAATCCTCAATTCTTTCTTATCCAATTTTATCAGTGAAATGCATAAAATAGTTATATTTTTCAGTACACAGATTGGCCCATTTTTATGATCTTTTGCTTCGTCTGATTTGTTTTCCTTAAATGCGTTGATGAATAAAATTCTAACGAGCCTAAATAGCAATATGGACGAAATTCTGCCATTCTTAATGTTTGGGGGGTTTTCAAACAAAATCACTTGTCCAAAACAAATTTGCACAAGTCTAATAGCCATAACCAAACATTCAGGGCAGGCAGCATGTATCTTAACGATATACACAGCCGTAGTACAGGAAGGCGGGAGTTAGTTAACTGAAACGGGATAAGGGGGAAGAAAGAAAATTTAGCAAGCGGTTGGGATTGCAATGCAAGAACCTTTCCCTGTTTGGAATACAAATTGAAACAATGATGTTGAACAGGTAAAATTGTTTGTGCTTTAAAGCTCTCACAACTGCTTGTTAATGTTCTAATGCTATTTCTATAGTGGATCTAATCAGATGTATCTGATTGTTACAGGTACCCTAATTTGCAACAGCAAAATTTTATATTATTGCATTAAAATATTGTTATAACATTTTGGTACTAATGGTAGCTGCTATAGATATATGGAACACTACAAGATTTAAAGATGTTGACCACAATTGATAATTCATCATAAATACTTAATGTTAAGTTCTAGTAAAACTACAGATAGAATAAAACATTGCAATGAAATATTTAATGCATTTTTTACAGTCTTGTTAATGTAATATTTATTTTAGTAACAAAGGGTAAAGTACAGAGTTACTGTTACTATTATTACTATCATCATGTATATAGCACCACCACATTCCACACTAACTTGCTTTTAAACATTTTCTATTGAAATTGTATAATGTCAAGATATAAAACAGCGATAAAAAAACAAAAGAGCATAATGACCTACCATTATGTGTACAAATAAAAATACACTTACAATTGATGAATGAATGATATGCAATTGCAAGACGAAAGGATATATATATATGCCCCAAACAGACTGGTGATATATGTGCATGGTCCACACATCTGGTATTCAGTGATATAACTGCCTATTTTTACGTTCTACCAGTTCTCAGTCTATCTCTTCATGAAGTTCAAACTGCTTCCCCAAAAAAACAGATCCTTTATTTCAGCAGTTTCAAGAATCAAAGTATTTTCACTACTTGGCATTTAGAGGTCTACAGACACTTCACCTCCAACATTCAGACTACGAGGAGTCTTTTAAAAATGAAAAAAATAAAACATGTAAAATCTATAAATGTAAACCACACTAAGGCCTTAAATGTAATATTTGTGATGCATTTTTGTATAAACTGCTAAAAGTATTTGTAAAAGAAATATTAAAATAATAAATATATCAAAACATATCAAATTTCATATATATATATACACATATACAGTGCCTTGCAAAAGTATTCACCCCTAGTGATGTCTTGAACGGTTCGCCGAACGGTTCGCCGTGGACGGCGAACATATGCGGTAAACTTTGACCCTGTACTTCACAGTCAGCAGACACATTACAGCCAATCAGAAGCAGACCCTCCCTCCCAGACCCTCCCACCTCCTGGACAGCATCCATTTTACAATCATTGTGAAGCTGCATTCTTAGTGAGCTGTCCAGGAGGTGGGAGGGTCTGGGAGGGAGGGTCTGCTGCTGATTGGCTGGAATGTGTCTGCTGACTGTGAGGTACAGGGTCAAAGTTTACCACATATGTTCGCCGTCCGTGGCGAACCGTTCGGCGAACCGTTCGGGACATCACTATTCACCCCCCCTTGGCATTGTTTGTGTTTTGTTGCCTCACAACCTTGAATTATTATGGATTGTTTGAGGATTTGCATCATTTAATTTACAGAACATGCCAACAACTTTGAAGATTTTTTTTTTATTGTGAAGCAAACAACAAATAGGACAAAATAACTAGGATAAATTAAATCAATACTTTGTAAAGTCACCTTTTGCGGCAATCACAGCTCCAAGTCGCTTTGGATAAGTCTCTATGAGCTTGCCACATCTTACCACTGGAATTTTTGCCCATTCCTCCTTGCACAACTGCTCCAGCTCCTTCAAGTTAGATGGTTTGCGCTTGTGAACAGCAATCTTTAAGTCTGACCATAGATTTTTCTATTGGATTGAGGTCTGGGCTTTGACTGGGCCATTCCAACACATTTACATGTTTTCCCTTAAACCACTTAAGTGTTGCTTTAGCAGTGTGTTTGGGGTCATTGAGCTGCTGGAAGGTGAACCTCAGTCCTAGCCTCAAAATCACACACAGAGTGGTAGAGGTGTTGCTCAAGAATATCCCTGTATTTAGCACCATCCATCTTTCCCTCAACTCTGACCGGTTTCCCAGTCCCGGCTTCTGAAAAACATCCCCACAGCATGATGCTGCCACCACCATGTTTCACTGTGGGATGGTGTTCTTTGGGTTATGTGATGTGTTGGGTTTGCGCCAGATTTAGCATTTTCTTTGATGGCCGAAAAGTTAAATTTTAGTCTCACTGGACCAGAGCACCTTCCTCCCACATGCCTTTTCACAAACTCAAAACATGCCATTTTGTTTTTTGCTGAAAGTAATCGCTTTCTTCTGGCCACTCTGCCATAAAGCCCAACTCTATGGAGCGTACGGCTTATTGTCGTCCTAAAGCCCAACTCCAGTCTCTGCAGCTCCTCCACGGTTACCTTAGGTCTCTGTGCTTCCTCTCTGATTAATGCCCTCCTTGCCTGGTCCGTGAGTTTTGGTAGGCGGCAGTCTCTTGGCAGGTTTGCTGTTGTGCCATGTTCTTTCCATTTGGTTATGATGGATTTGATGGTGCTCCTGGGGATCATCAAAGATTTGGATATTTTTTTATAACCTAACCCTGACTTGTACTTCTAAACAACATTGTCCCTTATTTGTTTGGAGAGTTACTTGGTCTTCATGGCAGTGTTTGGTTAGTGGTGTCTCTTGCTTAGGTGTTGCAGCCTCTGGGCCTTTCAAAAAAGGTGTGTATATGTAATGACAGATCATGTGACACTTAGATTGCACACAGATGGACATCATTTCACTAATTATGTGACTTCTGAAGGTAATTGGTTGCACCAGAACTTTTTATGGGCTTCATAACAAAGGTGGTAAATACATACGCACATGCCAATTTTCTGTTTTCTATTTCTAAAAATTTGTTTTATGTATATATTTTTCTCATTTTACTTCACCAACTTAGACTATTTCTGATCAATCACATAAAATTCAGATTAATAAAACATTGAACTTAAGGCTGTAATGTAACAAAATGGGTAAAAAGTCAAGGGGGTGAATACTTTTGCAAGGCAATGTGTATATATATATCAAAATAAACCAAATTATTAAAATATTTGTATTACATTTTCAATTAAAAGTTAATCCAAAGATACTACATCAAGGCCTATGTACTTCATTATTCAGTAATTGCAAAACTGCATCAAGAAATGTACCATTTCATACAAATTGTGCAAACTCATGTGAGCACAAAATGTGATTAAATAAAGTACAAATTAGCTGATTATCAATGTCCACCAATCCAGTCGTTTTGAACTTCATGGAAAAATAGCACAGAAAAATTTACTTATCATCAAGATAAGGAATGTAAGCTTTGATTAATACAGAATGGATGTAGCTGTAATAATTCTAATACTAAAGATAACTTTTGTTATCTTGTTACACTATTACCTCTATAAATAATGCTACAAGCACAAAATGCCCTTAAAAAGATGCAACCTAAATATGTCTAAAATCATCATTTGTTTCTAACACCTTCATCGCTAGTTAGTTAAACACAAATCATCATTTAAATTTCCTTGGGATATTTTGCACACTACTCCACCTTTTCTGCTGTGCACGTAAAGTTTTCTTTTTTATATTCTTTTGCACAGTGATTAATATGTGAATTGTTTGGGATGAAAAGAGAATTCAAAGTGAATTTCAAATTTTATACAAAATGTTGGGAACGAAAAGTGAATTCAAAATTCATTTAAAATTTTATACGAAAATAGCCAAACCAGAGAAATTATCTGTGTCAGTACTGGTTTTAGTTCAACTAGTTTGCCCTAAAATTTTAAATTAACTTTGAATCTCAAACAATTCACAGTTTAGTGATTACTCTGCAGATATTGGACATATTACTATTTATATTATTGATAGCTTTCACATTTTCTGCTCATACCTGGAATACTAATAATGTTTTCCTTTTTATATTCTGTAATCAGTTATCATAACATAATAATATAGCACCTAGTGAGAAATCTAGTGAGAAATCCTAATAATCTTAAAGACATCTAAAGTATATTTTTCACACAGTGTTCACCTTTAAATGACTATGTCATTGCATTATTCTGTTTTGGAGTACATATCATTTTATTCAAAAATTGCATAATAAAAATAGAAAGCCAGTTAGTAACATAATCCTCTATCCTGTTATTTTTAGTTCTTAGTAAACAAGCCACAGAATGGAAAGCTACAGCAGATAGAAAAATAGAATAATTATTATATGGAAAAACATTGCTGTGGTATTTTCATTTTTTGTCAATATTTTAACGCTTAACTCCTTTCCGACCTCGGACGTACCTGGTACGTACGACAAAATATGGTTGTTAACGACCTTGGACGTGCCTGGTATGGGCGTTAGTAAATCCCCACTTACCTGATCACTGGCGATCCGCCGCTGGTGATCGCGACCCTGGGGTCTGCCTGTGAGCTAAGGCAGACCCTCTCCCTGATCCAGCCCTCCTGTGCCATGTGCTTGTGGGGTCCTCGCGATCACAGGGCTAAATAGCTGGCTTGTGCAGTGCCTTCAGGGGGCCTGCCTGAACTCTCAAACAGTCCCCCTAATGCCTGCAAAAAACTTTTAAAAATTATTAAAAAGTTTAAAAAAGTAAATAAAAGTCCTTAGATCATATATATATATATATATATATATATATATATATATAATCTAAGTACTTTTATATACACATACATAAATCATTATTAAAAGTGTGTTTTAATATTAATATATATATTTTAAAATACACTTAAAATAACGGTATATATATATATATATATATATATATATCAAAAAAAAATC